GCTGAGGCAAGGCACCCGCTGAGGCAAGGCCCCCGCTGAGGCAAGGCCCCCGCGGAGGCAAGGCACCCGCTGAGGCAAGGCACCCGCGGAGGCAAGGCACCCGCGGAGGCAAGGCGTGTGGAGGACGCTTGGTGTTCGGAGGGTAGAAGGAAGGCTTGATGGACAGTGACAGAGACAGAGCTTGGCTTGTGGGTATCTAGTCTTCACTGATCTTCACTTCCCTGAGAGTGGCATAGCCCAAAGTTTCTCACTTCCCTGAGGGTGGCATAGCCCTAAGTTTCTGCTGTTCCTGTTGATCCCTCCTGCTGACTCTAGCTGAAGTCGAGGCTTAGTTATCTCTGCTAGGTCCTGTCACTGCTGTTGCATCTGTAAAGTGTCTGTGAGTGGATGGAGCTGCCACTGCTGACCTGTGAACTGAACTGCCAATTTCCAGACAACACAGATGAAAGTTGTTCCAAAGAACTAAACAGGTCCATTTCCCCACCTCCCCCCATATCCTTTCTTTTCCACTCCTCTGGTGGGTGGTGGGCTACAAGAGAGGTTAAGGCATTTAAAAAACATCATTGAAAATAAGATTAAAAAAATAAAGTTATAGGAATCCTCTTGGCATCTTCATTTCTTTCTTTTAGTTTGTAACAGGAACTGGAGTTCCCATAACACAGCCACACCTGTGCTGATGGCTCTCAGAGGTAACTGACTGACTAATTTTTTTTTTTTTTTTTTGGTTTTTCGAGACAAGGTTTCTCTGTGTAGCCTTGGCTGTCCTGGAACTCACTCTGTAGACCAGGCTAGCCTCGAACTCTCGAACTCAGAAATCCACCTGCCTCTGCCTCCCAAGTGCTGGGATTAAAGGCGTGCACCACCACCGCCCGGCTGACTAAATTCTTGATTATGGACAGTAGGAATGTTGAAGATCCAGAGACAAAATTATCTTGGGGTTATTTTTAGTTCCCTTAATAGCATTTACCACCAACCTTCTATATCTGATCAAGCTTTTTTTTTTTTTCCTCAACTACCAGGCAAACCTTTAAAAAATATTTACTTACCATGTTACCAGAAATTTTAGGATCAAAGCCTAGACTCTGAGAGCCCCAACAAGCTTGGGTTTGTCATTGTCTCAAATATGTCAAAGAGACAAACAACATAGAAAAAAGACTTACTTAACATAATTACATTGAAAAGAGGAACAAATAAAGGATTGAAGTGACCCACAAGTCCATCTGTTCTGACAAGAGATTTGGGTTAAACAGAGGACAAGACATGCATGTATCCAGGAGTGCTGGTGCACACTTTTAATCCTAACAGTTGGGAGGCAGAGGTAGGTGGATGGAGCTCTGCAAATTTGAGGCCAGCCTGGCCTACATAGTGAGTTCCAGGTCAGCCAGGGCTATAGAGAGAGACTTTGTCTTGAAGAAAAATAAAAAGGAGGAGGAGGAGGAGAAGGAAGGAAGGAAGGAAGGAAGGAAGGAAGGAAGAAAGAAAGAAAGAAAGAAAGAAAGAAAGAACTTAAGTAGTGCTGATCAAGGTATAACTTCCATCGTTCTTGGTTCTACCTGTGGATAAATTGAACTAGGAGAAATCTTCCTGAGAAGCAATTCTTTCTCTGGCTGACACCAGACTTTGGCTTTTCTCTCCCCCTAGGGTGGATTCCTGGAGAATTTTTAATTTTGGGGGGGTTATTGTTTCAATAATCAAAGTCAATCAGTGTGACACCAGGGCTATATATTAGAGTATCTCCTCTCTGCCTGGACAGTAAGGCACAGTAGGCCACTAGCTTCCAGCACTCCTAAAGCTAAGAATGATATCAGATAGCGTCTGAAACTTGTAGTAGATATTTCCTAACTTCCAAGCAAGCGCATGCCTCCTGACCCCACCAATGTATTTAAGTAAATGCCTTGATTTAACTTTGTGTCACATTGGGATGCTATTAGGGGAGTAACATGAATCTGTGTCTCCAGGCTGTAGACAATCATTTTTGGATAAAAAATAAAGTACCTGTCATTCCCTTGAATGTAGGAACTCTTAACATTTTATTGTAAACATTTTCAAGTGCAAAGACAAGTTGAATTGTTCAGAAAACATCTATATCCACCGTGTACCTTCTACTTCAACATTTTGCCTTATCACTATCCCTCTATATAGCCATCCAATTTCCTTTTTTTTTCTTGGTCTAGGCAAGACATGCACACACACACACACACACACACACACACACACGTCCATGCATGCTCACGTACACATTTTACATATGCATGTCACAGCAGGTGTGTGGAGCTCAGAGAATAACTTTGTGATGTCAGTCTTCTTCCCCTTGATGTGGAGGTTCCAGGTATTGAACTGTGACGTCAGTCTTCTCCTTCCCCTTGATGTGGGGGTTCCAGGTATTGAACTCAAGTCTCCAGGTTGTACAGCCTGCAGAGAAATAAAATTTTTTGGATGTGCATGTCACTGCTACTTCAGATGGAGCAATCTGTAGAGTCTAGCTGCACAGCTGTTTGACAAACATGGTGACGGCCACACTTGTGAGGGTCAGGTGAGCATGGGTGGAAAGCGCTCCTGAACAGCTTTTTCTGCCAGTATTCACAAGAGGGAAACATCCTTTAGTGGAACATTTGCCCACAATATTCCTTTTCCTAAGAAATAATTCGGGCTGGAGAGATGGCTCAGCGGTTAAGAGCACTGACTGCTCTTCCAGAGGTCCTGAGTTCAAGTCCCAGCAACCACATGGTGGCTCACAACCATCCGTAATGAGATTGGATGCCCTCTTCTGGTGTGTCTGAAGACAGCGACAGTATATTCATAAATAAAATAAATAAATAAATCTTTAAAAAAAAAAAAAAGGGAATGGGTGGGTGGCTGGGGAAACACCCTCATAAAAGCTGGGGGAGGGACAGGAAAAGGGATCACATTTGAAATGTAAATAAAGAAAATATTCAATTAAAAAATTCAATTAAGAAAAATACTCAGAGGGGCTGGAGAAATGGCTCAGCGGTTAAGAGCACTGACTGCTCTTCCAGAGGTCCTGAGTTCAAATCCCAGCAGCCACATGGTGGCTCACAACCACCCATAATGAGATTGGATGCCCTCTTCTGGTGTGTCTGAAGACAGCTACAGTGTACTCATATATAATAAATAAATAAATAAATCTTAAAAATAAAAAAAAAAAAAAAGAAAGAAAGAATTCTACCAGGTCCACCATGCTCTGTACTTCCTCTACCCTCTGGCCATAATTGGTTAGCTGCAAGTTGACATTGCTTCCTGGCCTCCTTTCTCTTCCTCCTTCTCCCCCCTTCCTCCTCTTTCTTTTCCACATCATCTTGCTTGAAGATTGAACCCAGGATCATGTGCATAGTCTGCAAGTACTGTAACAAGGAAGGTCTACTCCTACCCCGTTCTGCAGCATCTGGGAGCCTCAGAATGGAGGCCACCAGCCTCCAGGTCCACTTAAAGAGCCCTGCGCCCCCGAGGAACTTCAGACTGAATAAGAACTCTGCCCACTCGGCGGGGCCCAGCAGTGCCCACTCGGTGCCGCGCACAGAGTGAACTCAGTCGAGATTCCTGAGCTCCAGTCTCTTCAGAGCTATGTGAATCACAACCGTCCAACAAGATTCAGGAACCCACGCCAGGGCCCACGTGCAGTGAGCTATCATTCCCCGCAGGCTGCCTACAACACCTTAGCTCAGACTGACACCACTGTATGTTAAGAAATGTATTGTCTCTATGTATGCAGTTTTCTGCTCTTATAGAAACGTAATGTTTTAATTACTGTGAACAGAGGCTTTCAGCATTTTCCTGCTGTCATCCCTCAGCATGAAAGTATCAAATCAGTAAGTCTTTGTTTCAGGTCTCATGCTTCTTCGTTACACAGGGACTCACTATGTCTCCCTTGGCTTTCCTGGATCTATGTTGTTAAGGTTGGCTTCACACTCAGAAATCTGTATGCTTCTGCCTTCCCAGTGCTGAGATTAAATACCACACATGGGTAGAAGGTTTGTTTTATTTATTTTGGCTTTGCAGGACAGGGTTTCTCTGTGTATCCCTGACTGTCTTGGAACTCAATCTGTAGACCAGGTTGGCCTCAAAATCAGGGATCTGTCTGCTTCTGCCTCCTGAGTCTTGAGATTAAAGGTTTGTGCGGCCTGGCTTGATTGCTTAATTTTTAAAACTGCTTTAAGAGCCTGTGGGATGACTCAGTAGCTATTTGCTGTAAGCCTGACAGCCATGTGATCCCAGGACTCACATGGGAGAAGTATAAGTTGTCCTCTGAAGTCCACAGTTGGCCCCTTATACTCCCCCTCCCAAATAAACAAATGTGGACAATGTGAAGATTCTCTGTGTCCTACAGTAACAAATATTTAGCCAATTCTTTATGTAAAAGGATGTGTATCCATATGATGAACATGCCAATTTGCTTTTGTCTAATGAATGGTAAAATTATATGTGTTAGTAATCTGTTAAACTCTACCTCCACAGTTACCTGGCAGCGGCCAGGTATGCTCCTCCCCACAGTTATCCGGCAACAGGAAGGTAGCCCTGCCCACTATAAAGGGGGCTGCTTGCCTCCTCCTCTCTCTCTTGTTCCCCTCGACCCAGCCCAGCGCCTGCAGGTTGCCATCTCCCCTCCCCCCTTCCCTTCCCCCTCTCTCCACGTGGTCATGGCCGGCCTCCACTTCTCTACTCCTCTCTCTCCTCCCGCTCTCCCACTCTCTTAATAAACCTCCCTTCGTGGAACCGTCTAGTCTGCTGTGATCTGTCCAAGCTGTTCGTGAAAATCCTTTTAATATGTATACCAAAGCATTGTTTAAATAGCAGGGCATGATGGCTATGTCCATAATTTGACCACTTTGGAAGTGGAGGCAGGAGGATCACGTCATCCTCAGTCACATAGTGAATTCAAGGCCAGACTACACTACAATGAAACCATCTCAAAATAAAACATTAACAATAAAACCCTCATTTTTAAATGAATGTATTTATAAGTGTTTGACTTGTATACCTGTATTATATATCTATATATCTATATAGATATTTATATAGCTATGTCTATCTATGTGATTATATACCTACAGTCACATAACAATTTCTCATACATAAAGGGGTCCTAAATGGAAATGGCTTGAGAGACTTGGGTAGAGAGCACTAGTTAGTACTTCTTAGGACAGCATCATCTCATGGCCACGTCACAGCCTCCTGATAGGTACCTGTTCTCTCATTTACAGAAGGAGAGATCAAAGCTAAGGGAGGTTAAAGATCTCCACTCAAGTCAGAAACTCAAATTTAAGCCTTTCTAATTCCAGGAGTATAGAGATTCACCTCAGGCTAAACTGGGCTAATTTCAGAGGATCTGAGAAAGAATAACTCCAGCTTGTCACCTTGTGGCCAATGTGTGGTACAGTCTCCAGCTTGTCACCGTGTGGCTGATGTATGGTACGGTGTTGTGCCCTTTGTCATTAGGCAGGTCATTCTGCTTGCCAACCTTGAACACTCTGTAGTCAAAGGGGAGAGATTCATTTATTTTCATGTGGAGGTCATGCAGTAATGTCCAGAAGTCAGTTCTCTCTTGCCATCATGTGGCTCCTGGAGACTGGACTCAGGTTGTCAGGCTTAATGTCAAGTCTTTAACTACTGAGCCATTGTCCCCACTTGCTACTAATGTTTATAAATTTATAACTTACATTTTAAATTACAAAATAAAATCCTGCAACTATTTTGGAAAATGTCAAGCCTAAAGAACACAGGAAAGAACTGAACAATGAACACCTACACTTATTTCCTCGATATTATATAATTGTGAACATTTGCCACATTGCTTTCTCAATTATCTTTATACTTTATGAACTTTTAATTCCTTGACAGTTTTATACATGTATTTCTTGCTTATATCCATTTCCTACTCCCTGGACCCACCTTCAGTTCAGGTCTTTTTATTTTCATTCATTCATTTTGACACAGGGTCTCAAAGTATAGTCCTGGTTGGCCTGGGATTTTCAAGTTAGGACAGGTTGACTTCCAACTCATAGAGATCGTCTTGCTTCTGCCTGTTGAGTGCTGGGATTAAAGTCCTGCACTATCATGTCTGACCCTTTTAAAATTATTTTAATAACCCTCTGAGTCCAATTAGTATTGCTTGTATGCTCAGGCACGAGTAGGAACAACCTATCAGTCCTTCTACCCTTCTAATTTTCTATCTATACTTTTGAAAACATTTAAGAGTAGTTCTCTCCAAGTGTGGTGGCGTGTGCATATAAGTCTAAGTAAATGTGGCCTGACCTACAGGCCTAAATCTATTTTAAAATGTACCAGATGTTTTAAAATCCATCTTAGCGAGTGCGCAAACACACACACATTCACAAAGGCCAGATCTCAAAACTCCTTTTTCTCCTTTCAGCTTACCCTCTTTCTCCCAGCCTCTACAATACATGGGGGAAAACTCGAGCGACGGGGTCTATTAGGTCCTTGGGCAAGTGTATCAACAGACACCAGATAAGATGGGAGTTCAGACCTAACAACTCTAGATTCTAATTGCACCTGAGGCCAAGCTTCATTCAGGAAGTTATACGAAAAGAGGCCTTGCGGTTAGCTCTCTCCCAAGATCTCACCCTGCCCCGAGAAGATTCTCGCCCCGGTACCGCTAGTTTTGTTGTCGTAAATTTTACGTCACATTACACTTGAGGATCCCACACTGAAAAAGAAAAGCTGTCCGCGAGGGTGAGCACTGCGCAAGCGCAGAAGGTTCGGCTGGTCGTCGTACGCACGCGCAGCAGCCCGCTCGAGTTTTCTGGTATGGAGTAGAACGCGGCTTCCCGCCTGCCCCTTGGGTTGCCATGGAGAGCGGCTAAAGCCCGCCAGTGGCAGTGGTCCTGGTGTCCTCTGGCGGGTTTACGTGGACGATGTTGAGCCTCACGGAGCTTTCGCAAAAGAGCGCAGAGTTGGCGGAGATGCGGTCCGGGCCCCTGGGTCGCTGCAGTCACTTTTTTTGGCTCGGTGTCGCCTTCGACGCGGTGGGTGTGGCAGTGCTGTTCACTGGCGTCTTCTCTAACTTGCTGTTCTACGACATGCTGCTCTATCTGGGTTCCATCATCATCTTCGTCAGTCTCCTGTGGTGGATCTCCTGGTACACCGGCAACATCGAGGCGCTCCCGGAAGATCTCTTGAGGGAGACTTCGCCCCGCGAGGGTGGGGTGCACCGCAGCGGCAGCCGTCGCTTCTCGCTGACCCTCAGGAGGGTCTCCAACACCTTTCAGCGGATCCGCCGGCGGCGGCGGCGGCGGCGACTCCACCCGCGGGTCGACCAGAGGATCAGTAGCATCAGCTCTACCGACCCGGGCCAGCTAGGAAGGAACCGGAAGCCTGAGTCTGCTGTAAACCAGTTTGGTGGAGTCCAGGCCTCTAAGAGCCTGCCTCTGGTCCATATCTTTCCCCCTCTTTCCATTTGTACTTCTAGGAGCCAACCTGTCTTTTCTGTGACCTCGCAGAGCTACCCTCTGGCATCTGACAGCAATTCTCGGATGGCTTTGTCCTCTGACAGCCATATGCCTGTGGATTCTCATCCTTACCAGAGGTCTAATATCAGTGTGGCCTCTCAGAGCTACCCTCTGGAACGAACAGAAAGTCAGAGCCACCTTCTAGTGCCCGTGTCCTCTGACAATTTTTCTATGATCTCTCAGAGCCACCTCCAGTCCTCTGACAGCTATGTATCTGTGCCTGTTGACCATCACTCCGAGGAGCGTTCTAAGATCAGTGTGGCCTCTCGGAGCTACCCTCTGGACCGGGCAGAAAGTCAGAGCCACCTCTTTGTGATCTCTGACAGTTTATCTATGGTACCTGTGACCTCTCAGAGCCAAATCCAGCCCTCTGTATCCTCTGAAAGCCGTGTGCCTGTGGATCTGACTCACTCTCAGGGGTGCTCTAAGATTAGTGTGGCCTCTCAGATCTACCCTCTGGAACGGGCAGAGAGCCAGAGCCACCTCCTAGTACCCGTGCCCTCTGACAGTTTCCCTATGTCTCTAGCCCAACAAAGCCATCTCCAAAATCTTCCTCCTGCCTCTCAAGCTCCTGAAACTGGTAAAGCTTCTAAAAGCCATACTTTGGCCAAGGGGGTTCCTGTGTTGCCACCTGGGGTTGCCCAGACTCAGCACCCGCAGGCCTCTTTAGCCCAGACTTCTCAAAGTATTTCTTCACCTGTTCAGAAGGTTCCTAAGAACTAAAGTGCTGAAGCTTTGATGACTCTCCCAGCACCCAACTTGAAACTAACTCAGGAGCAACCTGACCCTTCATCGCCTGTCTCTAAGGCCACACATTCAGACACTCAGTACTGTGACCATTCTGGAAACTCTTCAGCCTTGGGGACAGTGAGGAAAAGCCACCCTTTCTAATAGGAATCAAACACCAGCCATTTGAATGTCTACTAAGGCCTTTGCCAA